GATCAAGTACGCCATATGTACCAACTGCATTTGGCATCCGTATGGGATTGCTTGAGGCCGTGCGCAATTCGCCTAATTGGTATTGTGGGTGTATCTTGTCATCTACCAGAATTTCAGTACTAGTGAACCAGCTTTGATGGGCAGCTACATCCCTTCGATCGCATACCGCAGCTGACTGTTCGTAAAAGCGCTACCGAAGGCCTATGATTTCGTTATCTTATCACTAAAAATTACAACTAGCCACGAACCACTTTCGGCTAATGGGAATCACCTTAGATTTTTAACTTGGTTGATCGCGTGTTCATTTGAATGACAATTGCTGTGTCCTTATGTGTTAAGAATGGCATGGAAGCATACTTTCCCCAGGCTGCCGTTTTGTCTCAATGGTCAGAATATGGAACACTAAACCGCGGAACATGCATTGGTACAGCAGAGTTAAGACTGTATTGTGTGTTAAAGCAATTCCCAGAGCAATTTTTCTAACACGTAAATGATTTTACAGGAATAGTGGTCCAAGTTTGTCCGTAGGTTCTGTGAAAAAAGTGACACGAACAAGATTTTCACGTAACAGAAAACACAGGCGTTCCGATTGTGGGAACATCTTGTTCGGATACATTGTGTGGTGACGTGCTACACCACTGCGTGCTTGGACCGTGCCCTCCGTTCCGCTTTCAGTGCACCGACACAAAGTTCGCTAGATTCAGTGGCGCCATCTTACTTTGGTTTACGGATCCGCTATGGTCCGTGTTAGCTCGGCCATAACCCTGGCACCAAGTTTTCCACGCATCCACTTATGTCCTACAGCCTACTTTCATATTCTCATATAACGCCATTGTGCTTTACTTTCGAGAGTGTGCAGCACGCTTGTAGGACAACACGACGCCATCCAACCGAAAGTAATGCATACTCTTTAGTGAAACAATGCCTTGGAGCGCATACATTAAACGTGGAGCTCAATGGCCCAGTGATCATGACGCCAGACCTCACAGCTACTTACGGGAACACGGTCCTAGCTCGGAACTTCTTATTAGAAGAATCCGAACCAAAATGAAACCGGTTGGTCGTGGATTGAAGCCTTGGGAGAGAGCAACTCCGAAACTCTCCACTTCGGATGCGATACGAACAAAAAGGACGTGATTTACTTCCTTCTGTAGCATGGTTACCAGATGTGATGGTGTGTCGTAAGCAGAACGCACTTCGGGGACTCCGGATCTCATTCTTAAGTACACGTTAAAATTGCAATCAAGTTGCCACTCAAACATACAGTCAATCGTTCGCTGACACGGAAGGTGAAGCATCTCGAATTAATGAGTAAACAACACATTGTATGATGTGGGATAATTGAAGGAAAAATCGAGCTTCGATACCTGTCCTAATGTATGTGGAGATATCCAATCTATGCACATAATTTGCTATTGACAAAATTGCGGCATGAAGCGGGCGGCAGTCAAGTATAATGAGCGAGGATCTCGGTGAAATTAATGTGTTATTGCTATCACTGACGACAACGAGGTTACTCGGGGTTATCGAAGTCCTCACGTTTGCATCATTTGAGTTGTATTTCGCCTGCATTTATCGTTTTCGGCACTGAAAAGACCATACGAAATGCATGCGTCTACCGAGCTTCGTATCTTACTGTGCTTTACAAATTGTTGTGGCGAAGTAACTGCTTTAAATTTCTCATAAAACGAATTCTCCCTGACTCTCTTAAATTGATCCATCGTATAGTCAATCTGCGGTGAAAGATTGATTACAAACTGTGGAAATTGACTTTCTATCGAAATGAACTAGTTCGTTATTCTTAGTCTACCTTGATGCTACTGCGCAGAAACCAACTCAAGCCCTCCGGAGCTAACTTTAGACGCGTCACTTCCGGTCAGCTGGTGACCGCACATGCTATAATTGAATATTTACTGGAAGCACACGCACGCCTGCTGCACGTAGTTGAAAGCTTATCCCTCTGCTACCGGATTGTATACACACAGTTTTGTAAGATCATTATGGATCACACAAAAGCGCATGAGCAAGCCAGGCTCAATAAATCGTTGATGCACACCAAAGATGAAACATGCACTCGCGACCCCAATAAACATGCAATGAATCTGTCAAACGTGAAGCTTGATGCTTTACAATTGGAAAGACTACCGTTCGGACCGGATTACAAAATGCCTCCTGGACAAAGTAACGAGTTGCTTGTTGAAGCTCATTTTGAGAACCTCTTTGATCAGGTAGAGGAGCGTCCATCTGCTACTGCGGATAAGCTTATGTGATTTTAGTAGCAAGCTAACGGATATTGCATGCCAAAGATGTTCAATAATAGTTCAATAGTGTATGATGGGATAAAAAGCATTGGCTTTACAAGACCCATAGGATGGTAAATGCAAAATAAATAAAAATCAATAGATTCCGACATGGAACTGAAATGGCAATAGTCTAAACCTAGTACATCACACCACAATGTGTTGTTTGTCACTCAGATGAATGTCTAACAACTGTTTGAAGGCTGTAATGTTCGGAGCGTTTACCACATGCGTTGGCAAGTCATTCCATTGTGAATAGATTCTAAGAGAGTAAAAATATTTTCTACAGTCTAATCGGGAGTGTTGAATTATCAGCTTGAGGTTATGACCTCTCGATCGCTTGTATGAGGCTAGGGTGAGCAGCGATTTGCACGGATGATCGCTTTCCGTTAATATCCGGTATGCGAGAATGAGATCTCCGCGTAGTCGTCGGTATTCGGAGGAAAACATGCCGATTAAACTGAGACGCACTTCATAATTGAGACCAGATAATCCGCGTGTTGCCTTCGTAGCTCTTCGTTGGGGCTGCTCTAAGAGATGAATGTCCCGTTTTAACCATGGGCACCAAGCCTGGACAGCATATTCGACGTGGGGAAGGATATAAGAGTTGATAAGCATGGGTATCAACCGTCGTTCAAAAACACCTAAAGCTCGCCTCAAAAGTCTCAGATCCATGTTCGCCACGTTTGCTGCTTTCGAAAATTGGAGCGAATTCCCCAGACTTTCTTGCACAATGATACCTAAGTCTCTTTCTGTGGTCACGCGCCGTGAAACGTACTGCCCCAAGAGGTACGTGTTGGTAAGATTGCTGCGCAATGACAGTAGGTGACACTTGTCAGGATTCAGGGGGAGGTGGTTTATATCTGCTCATTGGCTGATTCGATCCAAATCATTCTGGAGGAGGGCACAGTCTGATGTTGAGCGAATAACTCTCCAGATTTTTGCCTCATCTGCAAAAATTTGTATCGAGAATTGAATATTATCCGGGAGGTCGTTAATGTAGACCAGAAAAAGGAGGGGACCAAGGACGGATCCTTGAGGAAAACCGCTGGAGATGCAGAGGGTTTCCGAGAGGGCATCGGCGACTCTGACCTTGATCGTTCTGTCATGCAAATATGTTGCTAGCCAGTTGAGTAGGAAACCATGGATACCGTAGGCACAAAGCTTATGAAGCAGAGCTAAGTGATTGACTCTGTCGAATGCCTTCGAAAAGTCTAGGTAAATCACATCAAGGGGGGATCCTTCATCAGGCGCTTTGGTCCATGAATCCCGAGCAAGAAGCAGATTTGTGAGGCAAGATCGTTTGCGCCTAAAGCCGTGTTGGAGGTGAGAAATTAGCTTCAGACTCTCAAAATATCGTGTAATTTCATCTGCAACTAACGATTCCATTACTTTTGATAAAACAGGGAGGAGAGTAATGGGTCGGTAGTTGGCAGGATCCGATCGCTTACCTCCTTTGTATATCGGAGTGACTATCCCGCTTTTCCACTCAGGCGGAAGTGTTTGGGTATTGAGTAGACTTTGGAGAAAGCTTGCGAGGTGTGCTGCTATGGTGGGAGTAAGAGTTTTAAGAACTTTGAGTCTGATCTTGTCGATTCCCGGAGCGCTATTTTCTCTTAGAGACCGTAATTTGCTGGCGACAGCTACTGAGGTAAAAGTGACAGTTGATATGCCGACCACTTTGGCTGAATGCTGGTTTGGCAAAGGTTCTATGGCGTTTGCAGTCACTGTGCCAAACTGCAGAAGTAGTGCGTTCGCAGCATCCACAGCAGTAGTCGTTAGGCCACCATCCGTCTTGAGTGGTGGTATTCCTGTTTTAACTTTCCTTCTGCTGTTCACGTACCTGTACAGCAGTTTTGTAGTGTTCGTGAATTTAAGTACCATGTTTTATGCCATTTGTACTTATCGGCTCTAATCAGTGATGTGCAATAGTTCCTCACTATTTTGTAATTCTCCCAGGTGGCGTCGCAATTGTTCAGCGCGTATTGTCTCCAGATCTCGTCTCTGGTGCTAATCCATTTACGCGTTCTGCTTCGGATCCAGGTGTTGGTCCGGCGCGGCACTCGTAATGGTATGACTTTAGAGGCTGCTTGCGTGACACAGCTAATTTTGTCTTTTAGTTCGTTCCACGCGTCGTCTGCCGTGCTCTGCAGATTCAGGTCCCAGTTGACGGTTGTCGCTAGGCTGTGAAGCACGGAATAGTTGGTTATGGTTCGTCGGTTTTCATGTCTGATTTCAGTAGTATTGGCGTAACACACATAGGCAAAATTTAACACTGAGTGGTCACTGTTGCCTAATGGTGGATCTTATGAAATTGTCTCAATCACCAACTCTTCGTTGGTTAGGATTAAATCCAGAAGGAGTGGTAGTTATGAATAAGGAGGAGTTTATCAAGAAGATGAAGATTATACGGAATGATTCAAGTAAATTTCAACGACCTGACAAAGCGCAGGGGCGACTGTGTTTGCATTTCGCATTTTTCGCCATCTGGAAATGCTTTAGCAGTACCGTGTCATCGACGACGCGGTATGGCTCGATTACACCACAATGGTATGGGCTACCAAAAACACCTAAGAACATAGTGTGGTAATCATGTCAGCAACATCGATTGGCTCGATCTCATTGGTTGGCTTGCTGACTCATTACTATTGGTTGTGTGCGTCTGTCGCTTGACTCTCCGTTTAACAAGTGATTGACTCAGTTGTACTTCGTTAATTTTGCGAGATACATTTTACCTTTCCTACGGCTTTCTTGATACAACATTGTGGCGTCGCGGAGGCAAAAATGAACCTTTCCATCCAACCCCCATCTCCATTTTGGACTGACTGCGGCAGCAGACCGACATCGGATGCCTGGTTCCGTTGGAAAACATCCTTCCTAAACTACTTGGATTTAATCAGCGATCTCCCTACTGCTCTTACTGAGGATAAAAGATTGAAGCTGCTTCGTCATTTACTCGGAGATGAGGGACAGCGACAATTCGATGATTTGGGTCTCCAAGGATGCAAATCGGTTATGGACGCCTTCAATGCTCTCGATCGTGCATGGAGTTACCAAATGAACGTGTTTACCGCGCGATATATTTTCTCCCGAATACACCAAGAAGCAGGCGAACCCTTGAATGATTTCATTGCTCGGCTGAGTCGTGCAGTACGACCGTGTGCCTACTCGTCTATTCCACAGAAAAAGATTGAAGGCTGTATGCTCACTCAGCAACTGATCACTGGAATCGCTGACAATCGCATACGTGAGGGGCTATTGCAGGAAGACGCTTGCACACTAACGTGGGATCGAGCTTGCGAATTAGCCCGAGTAAAGACAGAAATTTCATTGCAATCGAAGCAGTTTTGTTCCACCAGCTTAGCTGATGTGGCGAGAGTACAATCTTTCCGGCAACGTCCGACAGACAAAATTTCTTGCTATCGTTGTGGGAGCACGTCTCACAAAGCTAATTTTGCCGGTTGTCCCGCACGCAGCCTCAAATGTAAAAACTGTGGTAAAATTGGTCACTATGCCCGCTGTTGTCGATCGCAGGCTGTCGCACTCATTAAAGATGATGATACACCGGAATGCCATGTTACCGCTCCAACTCAAGACAATATCTATTCAATCACCGCTGACTCCATACCTTCAGGTTGTGTAACCATATCCGTTGTTGAACCGAAGTTTCCAGCTGCTGACATTCGTACTGTATTGTTCCTTACTGTTAAAGGTGCTGTTCCATTGGAAATGGAACTTGATTCTGCTTCTCCAGTTACTATCGTGCCTTTCCAATTTTATGAACGCTACCTATCACAGCATACTTTACATCCCACCTCACATTCATTCTGGAGTTATAGTGGGAACACACTAACCATATTAGGATTTATTATCGTGCCTTTGCAGTTGCATTCTGTGATTGCCGATGTCGCAGTGTATATTTCTTCGGACAACAGACGACCCTTGCTTGGGAGGAATGCTATGGTGGCTTTGCACATTGTACCATCATTCGACCGCATGCTTATCTCTTCCGTCAACGTAGCACACTGGCAGGAACATTATCCGCAGCTCTTCCAGAAGTCCATCGGCCGTATTTCATGTGGTGTGCATCGAATTCAGCTGAAACCGAATGCGAAACCGATCGCCATTGGTCAACCTCGACCCATTCCGCTAGCGAAACGTGAAGCGGTCTCTGCAGCCCTGCAAGCGATGCTAGCAAATGATTTGATTGAACCCATCGATTGCTCTGAGTGGGTGCATCCAATGGTTTGTGTCATGAAAAAAGACGGTACTGTCCGGATATGCAACGATTTGCAGGCGCTGAACAAACAGATCGTCGTAGAACGCTTTGTTTTACCATCTAATGATGAACTCACTGTACGTTTAGCTGGTGCAACTGTTTTTTCCAAGCTAGATTTGAAAAGTGCGTTTTTCCATATGCCATTGGCCGATGATTCCAAACACCTAACTGCCTTCCTCGCTCCTGATGGCCTATTTCAGTACAAAGTCTTACCCATGGGTTTGAGTTCCGCGCCCGCCGCCTGGCAAAAGTTCATGACTCACGCCCTGGCAGGTATCGATGGGCAGGTTGCCTACATGGATGATATTTGTGTTTTCGGCCGGTCACAGGAAGAACATGATGCAAGGTTACACAAAGTCCTCCAGCGCCTCAGTGATCTCAATTTGCGTCTGAACGCAGGAAAATGTCTCTTCAATGCGCCAGAAATTCAGTTTTTGGGACACGTCATTTCACGCAGTGGCATTCGACCAAGTGATGAAAATATCAGGGCCATCTCTGAAGCGCCAACACCCAAAAATTTGACAGAACTAAAGTCCTTTTTAGGAATGTGCTCTTACAACCTGCGCTATCTGCCGGATTTTGCGACTGTGGCAGATCCATTACGACAGTTAACAAAGAAAGGATCGTCGTTCGTTTGGGGCAGCAATCATCAAAATGCCTTTGATGAACTGAAAAGGAGAGTTGCGTCTGCTCCCTTAGTTGCCATTTTTGATGAATCTTGCCGCACCTTTGTGTCCACTGACGCGTCTGATGTCGGTCTCGGAGCTGTCCTCTCACAAATACAAAACGGAGAGGAGAAAGTTATTGCCTACGCATCACGAAAGCTATCAGATTCCGAACGTCATTATTCAGTTGGGGAAAAAGAAGCTCTTGCATGTGTGTGGGCCTGTGAAAAGTGGCATTTATTTCTGTTCGGTCGTCATTTTATTCTGCGTACTGATCATTCAGCCCTAACAGCTCTTCTCAGCAATGGATCTAAAGGATCTCGCCCAATGCGAATCGATCGCTGGTATGCCAGACTCCTTAACTACGATTTTGAAATTGTGTACCGGCCAGGTTTGCAAAATCAGATTGCTGACGGCCTATCTCGCTTACCCGTGGGGTTGGAGGATGAAAAAGAGAGACTCAGAGAGGCGGTACTAATTTCCAGTCTCGGAGCTAACCTGTCTGCCTTGACGATCGAGGAACTACGAAGGGAAAATTCTAACGATTCTTTACTGCAAGAGATTATTGAATATGTGCAGCAGGGCTGGCCCAAGAATAACAAAATCCCCGGTGAGTTCATTCCGTATTATGCAATTCGACATGAACTATCAGTGGTAGATGGTTGCTTGATGCGCGGTTCGGTGTTTGTAGCTCCGTCCCAGTTGATAGCCAAGATAATAGCTTGCGCACATGAGGGACATCCAGGTATAGTTCGGACCAAAAATCGAGTAAGACTCTATTTCTGGTGGCCACGAATGGCATCTAGCATTGAGACATTTGTGGTCAATTGCAATGCTTGCCGATTAGCGGACAAAAGTTCTTGGCCCGTTAAAGCCCCGACACAGCCAATTGCTTACCCGATGAAACCATGGACCAAAATCGCCATTGATATTATGGGCCCTTTCGCTACTGCTCCTACGAATAAGCGAAATCTACTTGTTGCTACATGTTTTTACAGTAGATGGCCTGAAGTACACATGTGCGACCAAGTTACTACTTCGGTTGTGTTACGTTGGCTTAAACACTTGTTCAGCCGTTTCGGTTTACCGCATGAAATAGTAACGGATAACGGGCCACAATTTTGTAGCCGCGAATTCGCAGATTTTCTACATTGCCATAACATTAAGCACTCCAGAACTGCGCCCTACAATCCTGCAGCCAACGGCATGGTCGAACGTTTAAACCGGTCTTTAAAAGAATCTATACAAGCCATACACATAGGAGGTTCGGACTGGGAGGATGCAGTTTTAACTGCTGTTTTTTCCTACAGGACATGTGACCACAGAGCCACAGGAAGAACGCCAGCGGAGCTGATGCTAGGAAGGCCCTTACGCACAAAGTTAAATGCTGCACATAACGTTTTATCAGCGAGAGATGCCGAAGTTTCAAATCGCATAGCATCTTACCAAAATTCCTATGCTAAATTATCAACACCGATGCAGCCCGGGACATACGTTCGCGTCAAAAGCAGAGCAACAAAGAAAGGCACACCTTCGCTTTCCGCTCCACTGCGCATCGACCGTACGCTTGGCCCGGGCACCTATCGATTGGAGAACGGCCTAATTGTCAACGCGCGTCGACTCCACACAGCTCACGGACCAGCTAATCAGCCCGATCGATCCGCGCGCGAATACCCGGCTGAGTTACCATTACCACGAAGCCAGCTGCGCCGGTCCGCGAGAACGGTGAAACCTATTGATCGCTACGAACCCGGTTGAGGCAGCTTTTCGGAGGGGGAACGATAATGTGGTAATCATGTCAGCAACATCGATTGGCTCGATCTCATTGGTTGGCTTGCTGACTCATTACTATTGGTTGTGTGCGTCTGTCGCTTGACTCTCCGTTTAACAAGTGATTGACTCAGTTGTACTTCGTTAATTTTGCGAGATACATTTTACCTTTCCTACGGCTTTCTTGATACAACACATAGTGCCACTCAGATCGATCCTCTCAATGGTAAACGCGCCACAACACTAAATAGCTCGCTGGTTGATGAAGGCGCTTTCCCCGTTAATAGAAACATTTAATCCCAACGGCCACCGACACTAGCTTGAACTGATGGAAGATCTCGACAAAATGGACCTGTCCGATAAAGTGATGTGTTCCTTGGATGTAAAATCGTTGTTCAAAAACGTCCTGCTGCAGTAAACTGTTGACTATATCTGTGAATTAACGGAAAGTTCCGGATTTACAACACCTGATTTAACGCGTTTCCCACGATCAGTGGGTCTGATGAGGGTTTACCGAAAAGAATTCTTTACCCTAAAGTGCTCTCTGTTATTTGAACCAAAGGCTTTGGTTGAGAATCCTAATCGTTCGCCTGTCTAGGCCTGGGAATCCTGATAGTATCCTACTCACGCAGTCCTACCAATCTTTTCTCGGACAATTTCTTGATGCTCTGGCCACCGCAGAGGATAATCAACGGTGCCCTAGCTGCTGCAACAAGCAGGGTGGATAGAGGTTTGGATGCTACCTCTCAAGCCTTCCCGTCTCCTTATTCCCCACTTACGCTTTTTACTCTTACCGTCCCGTTCCAACTTCACGTTTATCCCCTAGTTTCCAACCCCCCGATTCTTGGCCTTCCCCAACATGCTTTGCTAGGCGTTTATCTTCTATAGTTTCAACTCACATGCAAACGAGGAGCGTCACTTGTGCCCTGTCGACAAGCCCATGTCCAATCAAGTGGTCAACCTAAGTTCAACAGCTTTCATTTGGAGCCCTCGATGCTCCTTCAGATTGGCAATCCCCAGTGTAAGCACATTACTACAGATCGGTCAACAGGCAGCACTTGCTCGAACTTTAGAGAACATCTCGATCAATATCTGCTGCTTATCGGAGACCCGCCTGCAAGACTCGAGCTCTGTGCTCACTCTGCGATCCCCTTCAGATGACATCCGCAGCACTTCCTCATTGTGCCTATCCCGGAACGATACAGCTTCGAGCACCGGCCAAGCTGGTGTTGGTATTGTTCTGTGTCCCCGGGCTGAAGCTGCTCTGGTTGATTGGATCCCAGTCAGTAGCCGGATGTGTGCGGTCCGATTGTCTGGCTCGTTTAAAGCTTCGAAATCGCGCGAGACTATTAGGTGTCTATTCATCATCGCTGCTAATACACCCACAAACTATAGCGAGGATTCGGTAAAAAACGACTTCTACCGCCAACTGACACAGCTCCTTCGCCACAGAAGAAGCACGGACACTGTTGTGCTGGCGGGTGATCTGAACGCACAAGTTGGAAACATGTCCACTGATGAAATGCATCTGGGCGGTCAGCACAGTTTAGGCTCCGGTAATAATAACGGTGAGCGGTTACTTCATTTGTGTGAAGATGTTCGCTTATTTCTTCCGAGCACTAATTTCCGACACAGCACCCGCCGGAGGGTGACTTGGCGCCCATCAGCCTCGAACCAGCCTTGGACGCAAATCGATCCCATTCCAATCATTTACCGCTGGAGTGTCTGCATCCAGAATTGTCGCACGATTTGGAGCACGTGTGCACTTGTATGTGCTGACATGTGGATGCGTTTTGACGTATTCCCATGAGGACGCTGTGAGCGCATTGACACTAGCCAACTGACGAAGCCATATGTTCTGAATGTCCATCAAAGTACGCTGTCATGCGACTTGAGTAAGTGCGCAATGGAGACAATTGAAGGTCATTGGTCGAATGTTCACCAGACCTTACTAGCAGCAGGTAAATTCTCATGTGGTAAGTCCAAAAACAAACATGGAACTTGGCTTTCATTGCGGTCTCTGGAAGTTATAGATGCCCCTCCGACATATTCCAGCTAGAAGCGAACACAATGAAACTCGCAAAGAGCTCCGGGCAAAACTCCGTGCTAGCATGAAGAGAGAGCCCGCGAATCCTAGTGGTCTGTTCGTGCGTCAGAGATGGAAGTAGCCGCTGCCTTTGGTAACCATCGAAGTTATTCCGTCTGATACGAGAAACGGGCAGCAGGAGACCTGGTGTTAGTGAAATGCTTTATGAAGAAGGTGAACAGCCTATTCACAATTTGTCCAAACGTGTGGATCTCTGGTCTGAGGATTTTAAAATCAATTGACTCAGCCCGAATTGTTCGATTCCTCACCGGCCATTGATCGCCCCTCTCCGTGAGCTGTCCGTTTGCATCCCCCTTCTCGCTCAGAAGTCGAATGTGAGATCGAACTGTTGAAGTTAAATAAAGCCGCGGGACCAGATGATCTACATCCAGCGCTCTATAAAATCGGGGGTCCTGCTCTTGTTGATGATGTAAAAGAATTACTAGTGCAACTGTAGGAGCAGGAAACTATCCCTACCGACTGGAGCCGCTCCGTTATTGTTCAAATCTACTTAGGAGGCTCGCTCTCGGAATGCGGCAACCATAGAGGAATCAGCGTGATCCCGTCATCTCCGAATGACTTGTCTCTGTAATCCTTCACAGACTGACTGGAGTTCGTGAAAGCTAGATTCGTGAGCAGCAAGCCGGGTTCCGTCAGGATCGTGGTTGCATCGACCACAGCTTCACTTTGCGTCAGTTGTTGGAACACCGAAACACACATATGGTCGGTCCACCGTGTTCGTGTTCCTCGACATCAAAGATGCCCTCGATTCGATTGCTCGATGTGCCCTTTGGAATTGTCTACTCAGGAAAGGTGTGCCCGAAAAATAGGTAAATATTATCCAAGCATTATACGCGCGTAGCACGGGCAGAGTGAGGGCTTACGGCAGGCTGTCGCCGCCCTTCATTATCTATAGCGGGGTGAGAAAAGGATGCCCATTGTCACCTTTCCTCTTCAACTTCGCTATTGACGAAAGCATGAAGATTGCATTGACAGGACACAACGTAGGTGTGGAGCTACTCCAAGAAGAGCAACTTCTGGACTTGGAGTATGCGGACGACATTGCCTTCATCTGTGACAGCTCCCAGACGTGCCATGCTGCACTGGACAGATTAGTGCTGGTTGTCAGCTGCTTCGTTCATTGCTTTGCACCATCGAATTGCAAAACTTTCCTCCAAGATTTGCAGAGATCGCCTCCTGACCTGACTCTTGGGGAGGATCAGCTAGAACTCGTTCAAAAATTCAACTACCTGGGATGTTGTAACAACATCCTTGGGAGCTAAAACGAGATCACAAACCGCATAGCAAAAGACCGAAGTACTTTTGTTAGTCTAAGCCACGCATGGCTGCGGCGCGACATCACTCGCCCTGAAGGGTAGAGTGTACAATGCAGCGGTACGTTCGACCTTACTGTACGGTTGTGAGACCTGGCCCCTTAGATCAGCGAACATGAAGAGGCTAGTTACGTTCGACCATCGGTGCCTTCGCAGTTTGGCTCACATCTGATGGGAACACCGCGTGAGTAACGAGCGTGTTCGACGCCTTGTTTACGGCACTGAAAAAAGAAATGAATCGCTCAGCTTTGTCATTTCGCGCAATAGGCTCCGATGGCTCGGCCACGTGTTGCACATGCTAGCCCACCGACTCCTGCGACGTACGTTGTTTGCTCACCGGGGATGTGGATGGAAGAAGAGGAGAGGTGGCCAAGCGATGACTTGGTCGAGAGGAATGAAGTCATTCACTTCTGAGTTGGCCTCGGTTGGAGAGTCCCGGCTCCATGGTTGGGGTCAGAAAGACGATGAATACGTTTGGCTAGATACACTTGCTGACATGGCTAAGAGCCGATCTCAGTAGCGTTCGTGCTGTGAGTCTCTTTATCCCTCCCCATCCCTTTTAGCCTCCCCTCCAACGACGACCTCATTTGGTAGCATAATATAATTTTACAGCATAATTTTGCTTGTTACCTAATAGCCGGCTGGTAGCTTTCAGAGACGATGCCCATCCGTTGCTGTTATCAGCTGGCAGGCGACTGTTGTATTTCTTTTCTTTTTGCTTTTATGTATTGAGGGACAGTAGCTGAGGTATTTCCCACCTTTAGCTAACTTGTATAATAAGGATGATGAGTATTTCTGATGTTGATACACATCAATTTCGTAGGCTTTACCCAGCGTTTCTTCCTGGCGAAATGTTTTCCTGTAAACCAAATACTGAACTTAGAGAACTAGAAGATATACATTTGAGTTGCTCCGTTGTTATATATTACCGTGCATTGTTGATGCAGTTCGGCAGTGCGACTTTCTGCTATGCAGGTGCGATGCACTTTCGAACCCAGTAAAGCGCAAATCGAGCGTCTCGGAATTTCTGCAATTCCTACACAAATTTGGCTTCTGTCTCGGGTAAACTGTTCCAGTGTTTCACCTATCGACTCTCAAAGTATAGAGAGTAAGCTGTACGGATCAGATCCACTGTTCCTGGATTGTACCAGTACCTGTGACGGCTGGCTGCTACGCGCATATACAGAGCGGTCTCAACATAAGGAAGCAGCAATAAGTAATATCCGGTGTGCCATTATGTGGTCAACTCGAAACTGAGGATACGACAGGATGCATGGACGCAGTCTCCTGCATCGGTGTTCGTGCGACGTACTCAGTAAACTGGGGATGACCGTGGAAGCCACATGTTGAACATGTTCCAGTTTTTGCCCTTCTTCAAGTGTGGTTGGATAAGGGGCGGGTGATCCGTACCCGAGCATCGGAAGGGAAGGAGCGCGTGACAATCTTCTCACACCAAATGCAGAAATTGCGTCTCAACGCCCTAAGCATGCGCATCCCGTTTCCACATAGCTTGTTTGCGCTTAACAAAACTGAAAGCTTGCGATTACAAACAATGACACGGAACACATCTCATCTAAACGTTTTCCCTAACTGAGAGAAATCAAATTTGCATGGTTTTCCTGCTGACTAGATCAAATGCGAAATACCAACTGCATTTAGTTGACAAGACCACTATGACTATGGATGCAGATAAGTGGGGTTATAGCGATGTATCCCAATGGCTTGTTTGCTGATCTACTTGGCTGGCTTGCCGAA